TTTACATCTGTGAAAAGTGTCAATGCTCTGAAAGTTAGCATATACTTTCCCATTTTTGATACACAGTAATAATAATAAAAAAAAGCTTATAAAAACCTCCAGGGTAGAAAATGTGACTGTGGAGTAATAAGTATCCTGATAAGTTAAAATGTAATAAGACATGACTGTGACAGTAATTACCCAGGTAATTTTCACTTGAACCCAGAGACAGATTTTTATTTCTTAAGTTCAGCAAGCAGTTGTTGCAAAAAGCTACACTCATCTGTACTGCAAGATAAAAAGTTGCTCTTCTAATATGATTARTATTCACTAACCAGGAAGATTTTTGCAAGATACAGAGAACAGTTTAACTCTGAGCTTAAAGCAGTTCCAGACTACCAGTACCTTGGAGAAGAGGGAGCAGAGTAAATTTGTTCACCCTGATGAYAGTTCCATGGAAATGTATGAAAAGCTTACAACAAACAGATACAGCACACAGCAGGGTTTCTGGGGGGTGGATTTCATTGCATGCAATTAAATGAGGGCCAGTTTCTTGCAGCTGTCAAATGAACTCCATTTCTCTGCATCCCAAACAGAATAATTTAAAACCAGTATATAGGGTCCATCAAAGGAATGCCACACACCCAATTGCCTCGCAGATCTCATTCTCCTTTGTAAGCAAGGGAGAAAACAAGGATCAATTGCAAGATGGGAGACTGCTGCATTGATTTTCAAACAGAATCTTCCATCAAAACCGATGGTGAACTTGTCTTTAGACATAAGGRRAAAAAAAAATCTCATGTGGTCTGAGTTGTTCTGATATTTGAGCAACAGCAGCCATCAGCTATCAGTCATAGGGTGCTGCACATGTAACTGAGATGATCATGGACAGGATGCAAGTCTGACCTTTGAGATCTGGCCTTTGTTAGCATCCACAGGAGAACAGCACGAGTCTAAAACAGGAGATCAAAAATYGAGCCAAAAAAATGTGGGTGGGACGGATGGGAAGGGAATCAGGTTTAGAATAAGTTAAGTTTCATCAACCTGTCTGAGRTAAGACAAAGACAGTATTAATTATTCTGCCTCTGTGAGGAATTTGTCATCCTGAGGGATTCTAACACAGTGTGCCCCCCAGCCTGGCAGAGCAGCTCCTGCCTGCCASCAAACACATCTGGAAGTGTAGGCAGGCTAAAGACTAGTGAGCAAAGTGATTTCATGGGAAATGCAGCAGATAAAACTGTGATGGGCTGTCACGTAAAACCCCAAGACTGACCTATTTCACACAGACAGAAGTTCCAGAAGCACGAAGCAATAATCAGCTTGCRCTCAGTTATCTAGATAGCACATGGCAGGAGACTGAAGGGGGAAAATATTTCGAGCAAAAGAGTCAGGGAAAATCAGCTGTATATTGCTTTATCTCCAGCTATAGCAAACACTGCAGCATGGGTTTTTTTTATCAGAAAAGGCTAGACAGGCAACAGGAAAACACCAAAGTCCCCACTACCACTTCTTCCCTCAGAAWCAAATACAGCCCCAGACAAGCCACAGCAGCCAAGATCATCTCCCAAGTTGTTTTTTTTTTTTTTCAGTGGTCCTGAGCACTAAAAGCAGCACCATTCACCTTCCCCCAGCATCTGGTTTGGGAACCTAACTTAGAGGGCAGATTCCCAAGCTCATAGGMAATMTCTGACAAAACTCAGACAATGCATAACCACACATTTACATCTGGAATGAGTACACAGTCAAAACAAGGGAAAAAAAAAAGKAAAAACCACCTGATTTCYTTCCAATATGAATCTGTTGGTGTTTGAGATACAGCACAAGGGGCATACCTCAAATTATTTTGCAAAGATAAGGGTAAGCTCATCTTCCCAGCTTCAGGCATTGGGTRTGTTTGTGTTGTTTGGGTTTTTTGCTTGGTTGTTTTAAAGAAAGGCTTCTGTTAACGAAGCAATTTTCTCTTTTTTTTAATCCCAAAGAAAACAAAAGTTATCAGCAGAAATGTATCTATCACAGCAAGATTCACATTCAAACCTCCTAAAATGAAAAATCCTCATCTAAAACATAAAGATTCATCTTAACTCCAGGGGGTTAGACTCATAATTTCATAGCCTTCTAGCATCTTTCACTTTCTCTTTCTCACACCTTAAATTGATGAGAAAGCTTTGCAAGTCACCTCCGGAAATTCACCCAGAGAACTCTGAGGCTCAAAAAACTGACAGTAGGGTGTCTTCTTAGGAGGGCTTATCTGAAAACCTGCTKTCCTACCCAAAAGGTTTGGGTGGGAATTTTTCACCTAATTCTGATTACAAAGTGCCTCTGCTAAAGACCATGGTGCTCTACTAACAATAGTGACAGTGCAAGCCAGAGCTGAGAGACAGCTCCCTCCTGCAGCCATCCAAAGACATGCTTCAGTAGAGACCAGCTCRAGTTTAGAACACCCTCCAACAACAAAAAGAACAATAGCCAAGATTTTGAAAGTTCATAATACCTCCAGTCTGAACATACACTCTGCCCAGGGTCTGGCTTCAGTGAATTTTGACACACAAGAAGGGTTATGAGCATATCTTACAATAAAGATTTAATTCCTAAAAATTATCTGCTACTCAATGTACATCACATTGACAGCTCTAACACCTCTCTCTCTCCTGACCCTTCAAGAATTCTACATTCATCTATCATTTGCTCTGCCAGGATGGTAACACATACAATGGTATAACAGAGCAGCTGGCTGAGTCTTACAAACCATGTGTAACCCAAACGGGGACAATCTGTGTGGGACTCAAGCTTCCCAGCAATTTCCACTATAAAAACAGCCCCCACAAAAAAAAAATAAAAAAAAAAAAAAAAAAAACACCAGAATCAGCTATGATCAAAAAGACACAGTAAAGGTTGTGATCTATTTATTTCCAGATCTGCTCCACTCACACTAACAACCTAAATATGTGTCACACAGAAAATGGGTGCACATTATCCTCCCAGTGATTTCACAGCATCACATCCTCTCCTCAGAGTTTATGCTAAATCCTTTGAACTGTACTGAAATCTCAAACTATTTATAGCCTCACAATACAATGAATATAAAGCCATAATCTCCAACAGTTAACTATAGAGCACAGAGAGAATTCTTAAARGGCGATTTTTCTGCATTCAAAAATTCACAGAAGAATATTTAGCCTAATCTCTCACCTACTGCATGCTGAGTTTGTGTTCCAGCAGTATAATTCATCTGAAACAAGGGGATATAATATGTCTTGGCCAAATTTTCTAAATATGTGTGCAAACTATCTTATCTGTGGAAATCTCCCAATTAAAATATCACACTTCTCTTAAATTGGTGAAGCTATGTKATAACCCACAGTTCTGCATGGTGCCTTGAAGACCAGAAATAAAGTCTCCTCCAGGTCTGCTWAGGACTGAGCACTCCTTGTGAAATGAGTAAGCTTGGGGCAGACACAGCAGGAAAAAAAAAATGCCAAATTTTCCAAGAAGTTGGCAGGTATTAACACAGATGGGCACCATACAAGAACACATTAATCAAGCAAATTTTACCAACTCTGGAGAAGCAGACAGCTGATAGAAAAACACCAAATAGGACTTGGCTTCACCACAGAGCAGCAGATCTGCTGATTCCTAATTCTATCAGCGCACCAAGCCTCTACCGTTTGATGAAAAACTCTCCAAAAACCTTCAGGAAAAATAATTTCTCATAGAATCATTTAGGTTGGAAAAGAMCTCTAAAACTGAGTCCAGTCACTAACCCAGCACTGCCAAGTCCACCACTAAACTACATCTCTAAGTGCCACATCCACATACGGCAACTATCGTAGTCACAAAGAGAGGAAAAGTCAATGTGAACACATCCTTTTTCTTTTTGCTAGACTGCAATTCCCTYACCAGCTGCAGCGATATGCCTGGAGCCAGGACACTTGGGAGCTGGCAGTAAATAATAACAGGTACGGCTGGGAAGATTCGCCTGCTGAGGAGTGCAGCCAGTCTGYCAGCTACAGCTGCTGCCAGATCCTCCAAAAAGACACTGCAAGTGAATTTCCATGTCATTTCTCAGGCAGAAAAGGGGAAAGTGAGACAAACAGATGAAAATGATCTGTTTTTTGCCATGCTGGACAGATTTCACAAAGCATCCACGACGGGTCTGTGCACACAGCTGACACCGCACGAAGTTTCCACAGCCCAATCCCACCTTTGYGTGAATCAGTAGCTGATCTATGTGGGACTTCCCTGGGAACCAGAATCTGCTGCCCCCAGTACAGCTCCATCCCTAGGATGAGGGAAACTGAAACACTGAAGTTGCATTAGGCACCCGAGAGTGCGGATCCGAGGTGACCCCCGCAGCCTGCATCCGTGCGAACACTGATGCTCGCTCGGGCTCCACCCGGAGCCCCTCGGCCACCCGAGCACCGGGATAAGGCAGGACAGGACAGGACAGGGCAGGACAGGGCAGGACAGGGAAGGGCAGGGCAGAGCCGGGCAGCTGCCCCCAGCGCTCCGGACAGCTCGGGCGAACCGGCGCGGAGATGCCGCGGGCGGGGACGGGTGCCCTTGCTCGGCCGCGGTGTCCCTAACACCTCCCAAAACGAAAAGCTGGGAAGACCAAGTCCCGCGGCCCCAGATGGGAGAGGGGACCGAGGGTCCCGCTGCCGGCGGGGAGGGACCAGCAGGGACCGGGCAGCTCCCGGTGCCGCTCCGCCACGGCGCGCTCGCCAGCTGCTATCGTCTCCCGTCCCCCTTCAGCAAACGCAAGATATAATGCGGAAAATAACAAAACGCTTAAATAAACCAACTTTCCTTYCTCCCGCGGGAAGTTTTCTGCGGGGGGCGAGGCGACCTTTCCTCCTCCGCCGCCTCGGGCGCTGCGCCTGCCGCAGCGGCGCCGGGAGCCGAGAGCCGAGAGCCGGGGCCAGGCAGCCAGCGAGGGCTCCCGGGGCGCCCGCCACCTGCGCCGGCGGGGAACGGAGCGAGCGCGGAGCCGGTGGTGTGCCGGTGCGATTGCGGTGCCCTACCTGGGTGCAACATACTTTGGAAATAGAAGATGACGAGGATGAAGGAGCCCACGGAAGTGACCAGGACCATCCTGCAGACCCGGTTCATCCTCATTACTTCCAGCACCGCCGGCTTCATGGCGTTGTCCGGCGGCGCAGAGAAGGGCGGCGGAGCGCGCAGGGCTGGCGCTTGGAGCCGCTCCGCGCCCGCCCCGCGCCGTGGAGCCGCCGCCGCCGCCGCCGCCGGAGGATGCCCTGGCGCCCGCGCCCCGCGCCGGGGGGCGTTAATGCCTGCGCTGGGCGGGACCACGGCGCGCAACGGGCGGAGGGGCGCTCTGCGCGCGCGGGGGGGAGGCGGGCCAGGCGGGGAGCCGGGGCGGAGCGCGCCCCCCCCCCCTCGCCGAGGGGAGAGATGGTCCCGCCCGGGGGCGGTGGCGGGCGGGGACGAGCCGGGCGGCCCTGAGGGAGCGCGGGGACGCGCCCCGGCCAGCCCCGGGCGAACGGCAGCCCAGCCTCTGCCCGTGAACTTGACCACCTCTGGGGCACTCTGGCCCTCTGCAGGGGYTCGGGGTCCGGCGGGCAGGAGCATCCGCCCCCGCCTGGCTCTGCCCCGCGCCCCGTTTGGGGAGAGAGATTCTGCCACTCTCGTGTGCTGCCTGTCACTCCGCTAACCCCACATGCCTATTTCCAGTGTTCCCCCGCTCCGGGGGTTATGTTACAACCAGACCCTGCCGTCGTGTTCTGCCAGTGTCCCGGCCGGGAGCTGTTCATTTTAYCCTCGGTGCAAACACCAACTTCCAGGAGCGCGGAACGAGCAGTGCCACCTGGCCTGACAGAAACGAAAAGGGCGTTCTTTTGTTTTTAAGCGCCAGACATTTAAGTTTTCCTAATTAACTAACGTTTCTCTTTTATCGGTGGAAAAACAAAAGCTCCTTGCCCCGCGGTTGGTCCATCCGCCGACGGTAAATCTACCTTTTGGTGAGGGAGAGCAGCACCAGGCGATGAGATAGGAGACCGTACGTGGGAGGAATGCAGAGGAGCTACAGAACAAAAGGATCTGCCGTGTCCAAGCGTGTCCCCAGAGGGGTTC